TTGAGGAAAAAAATGGATTTCAAGTTTTGGAAATAGTGCATCTTGCAACGCATTTTTGGACCGTCAATTTTTAAGTTATTCAAGTTTTCATAGATCTGCTTGATCTACACTATTTTTGAAGCTTTAAATTGTATTATTAAAGATAAAAATATATTTTAAGGCTAGTCAAAGATTTCCTCTATTGAAACTACATTTCTCGACACCATTTGAAGGTGGGCTCTAATTTGATTGTTTAGAGCCTCGGCTCTATACAAATCGCACTCTTTTCTTTATGTTACTGCCTTAGTGGTTTGTTGTTGTTATTGGGTGGGGGAGATAGTTCAATGGTGGGATTCAAGGCTGGGATGTAGTGTTGAATCACCAACAACATAACTAATCACTCCGATTCCTGTGTCCTTATTAAGTTTTCTAGGTTGCTTGATTGTTGATGCATAAGTGATAGAAATGCACTCGGGAATGAGGATGATTTTCAACTGTACTTTTCATGGTTTTGTTTGGAGTAGACTTTATTTTTGAAGTAATGACATTTCTGAAATGTATGGTATGTTTGACAGTTTGACTTACAGACTTTTGTTGTGCAATTTGTTGGTTGAATCTGCTAAAATTCCTTTTTCTAGGCTGGTGAGTTCTTTTACTCCGCCCGAAGGGATGCAACTGCTCAACAGAGGGAAATCGAAGAATCCCTGCAAGTTGGTGAAGGATCTATTGATAGTCCTTTGTTACTTGAACAAGTAATGCTTGTTACATTTTGCCTCATTGTCTTTCTTTCATGTCTCAAATTCCTTTTTGCCCTTATATATGACTTATGAAACCATTTGTGTTCAGGAAATGCTGACGGATCCTTCAAAACAAGTCAAACTGGGTTTTGTCAGTGGCCTTGTACCCAAAGCAAAATCCATGGCATTTGAAAGGATTCTGTTTCGTGCGACACGGGGTAACATGTATCTTAAACAATCTGTGGTTGAAGGTCCTGTTACTGATCCCGTATCCGGGGAGAAGGTACATGCCTTGAGTATTTCACTGTTGGTTTAGATAAACATGCCTTAGAAATTCTTACAGACCTTTGAAAGATGTAATAGTTTTCAGCCGTCTTATGGACTCATAAAACTCATATAACTTATCATATGCTTGTGGAAAGAATTGCTTAACGATCACATTTTTTTTATTGGTTAACTTAACCACAGTTTTTAGGAGATGATTATCCAGCATTCTATCAATCCAATTTGAATGATCTGTAACATCATTTAACTCTCTTGTGATATGATTTTTATATTGTCATTGTAAATTAAATTGACCACATTTTGCTTGAGGCACTGTCAGAAGGAAAAAAGAAAAGAGGCTTTATTTCACTTGAGACTGTCTTGACGTGCCCAGTGATCAACGCATAACTGGATACGGTGATTCAAAGTTGTCGCTTTTCTAGTCAGATTGCATTCAAGCATTGGGCTTCTTGGTGATTTGGATGTTAACTATTTACTGAGTAAAGCATGTTTTACTGACTAAAACTGGAACTTTGCTATATTTTATTGGTTTATCTATGGTTTTTCTCTTCAGATTTCAATTTTTTTTTATTAGTTTATCTATGGTTATTCTCTTCAGATTTCAATTTCAATTTGGATTTTATGAAAGGAATAACATTTGGGGCATTTGTGCATCTCATTTGGATGCACTTAGAGAAAATCTAAACAAAGTAATTCAAATAGAAATAACTAAAATACACATTTATTTGCAGGTATTTTGGTCTTCTTATGTTTCGAGAAATATTTTTTTCTCGAGGTGCATCCAAGTGAGATGCATGTATGGCCCAAATTTTAGCCAAATCCAATTTGTAAAAAAGAGAACAATCAAATAGTGATAGGCTTCCGACCATGCGGTCAAGATCTGACAATTATGAAAGGGGATCTAATGATGTACAGAAAACACCATAGGGGATAGAGAAGGTTTTTCCACACACACACACACACACATATGTATATATGTGTGTGTGTGTATGTGATCAAATAGTGAATAAGTAACTTGAAAATTTTCAGGTTATAAAAATCCCTTAGTGTTTGCTTGTGGACCAAATGACTGTTCGATCCCATGGGACCACCTATACGCACTGTTTTTGCAACATGCTTGTCAGTATGCTTTCTCACACACACACACACACACACACATATATATGTATATGTTTGTGTGTGTATGTGATCAAATAGTGAATAAGTAACTTGAAAATTTTCAGGTTATAAAAATCCCTTAGTGTTTGCTTATGAACCAAATGACTGTTCGATCCCATGGGACCACCTATACGCACTGTTTTTGCAACATGCTTGTCAGTATGCTTTCTCAGCTGTGCTAAACTGCTTATAGTTTACACTGTTCTGTGTCATTGTATTCATAAGCTACAACATTACTATAAGCTGTGATATTTGAGTGGAAACTTAAGCACAAACATTACTAGACTCAATCCCATTGTTCAAAATTTCAAATGCTGGTTAGGAACTATTTATCAAAAAAGAAGTTGGTTAGTAGCTAAGGAGATGGTTGTTTTTAAGTGACTTTGATTGGTTTTATTTTGGCATTCACATTTGAAGGGACTAGAAAACTCAAAGCAATGTCTTTGAACTGTTCAAAACAACAAAAGGTGGTATTGGTTCCTTATGAGTTCCCATTTTTCTGTTGATTAAAATGGTGCCTATATTTTAATTAATAGTAGGAATTATCAATTTGATTGGGTCTATTGTAGATAATTGTGATGTAATGTGCCATACATACTAAATAGTTTTTGTCCTTAAAGTTGTTCATGCTTTGGATTTATTTCGAAGTTAAAATGAATACACGGATGCATTGTGCATTTCTTTTGTCATGAATTGCTATGACTTTCGCTTCCCTTATGCAAACTTTGGCACTGTCAGATCATCATCATCCGAGCCTTATTCAAACTATTTGGGGTTTGCTACACAAATCATGTTCCACCGTTCCGCTCTATCAAGGGCCATACCTTCAATCAAATAATTAATTATAAAAGAAGGCTGTAGTATTATGCTCTTGTATCTGTTTTTGTTGCTAATTTTAAAATATTGTTTGTTGTAAATTTCACTGCATGCAGATTTGTTATTCATAATATATATATGTTTGTATATATATGTACTCAAACTTTGTGATGCATCATAGTCCTCAATATGCTAGAATTTTTCCATTTGTTCTTGTTAAATTCCATTTTTTGTTCCTTCATGTGTTGCACGCCTTGGCATTTGCATCTGCAGGTTGAGAAAAATGTGTTTGTTGTTTTCTATTCTGGGGAAAGAGCGAAGATGAAAATTCTAAAGATATGTGAAGCTTTTGGTGCAAACCGTTATCCATTCCCAGAGGACTTTGGTAAACAAAGGCAGATGATTGGGGAGGTATGCCATTTCATTTTTATCACATAGCACTGCCAATTTTATCAATTAGATGAAGGTTCAAAAAGCCTCAGGTCTTCTCCTGTTGGATGTTTTTGACGCTAAGATTCTGCTTGTCGTCTGCATCATGGAGCTCCTAGTCATTGCATGTGAAACCACCATAAAATATGGGTTTACCGATTTTTATTCATCTTGTAATTAGTGTTTTAAATTGTGGGATGTGGAGCTGATGCAGTCGGGGTCCAATGCAGCTATGCAGCTCGATGGGGCCGTGCCGTGATGAGAGTGGATCACCTCTAATGCAGTCAATAAATTTAAATATTTTAAAAATATAAAAATATAATAATGCATAAAAAAAACATAAATGCGATTTATGTGATATTAGGTATTTTAATTATTCAATATATATTAGTTGTCTTAAACCTTGAGTCCCCTGATAGCCTGATAAAGAGTAATAGGGCTTGTTGTTCCAACTTCTAATCTTTGATGGTTCAAATGTCTGACACAAATTTTTTTTTTTGAAGAAATGTCTAATACAATAATTAACATATAAAACAAAGCACTCCATTCCATCTCATATAAAATATCCAAAATTCCAATTTTTAGAGTTTAAATTCCAAAGAGGTAAAAGAAGAACGTTTTGACATGTAAAAGAAAAAGATAATTATCTCTCAACTCTCAATAAGACAAGTTATCAAATAGTTGAATTTCTTCTAGTCTCATTTTGTTCTTTTCTTTTGCTTTTCCTTGGCTATCTATGTATGCCCTAATCTCTCTGGCAATCTCATCGGTTGCTTGTGGACATGCTTTAGCGATCCTGGTAATACCAAACTGACTAGGTGTTCTGTTTGCTGGAAAATACTACCCCCCCGCCCCTCTCCCTCTATGTATAAGCATTCTCACAGAGAGTGCAGATAGAACAATATCAATCTTTAGGGTTTCTGAGGTTAGCATATTCCATACTGCATTCTTGTTACTTCATGATGATTTTACACATTGCCCCAAAAAAAGTATTAGGAGATGAAAAACTTGCCAAACAACCCAAAGAAACTTTGATGCAGGTGACGCGGCCGCATTTGTGGTTGATACGCTACATGTGCAGGTGTATCACATTTTTCTGTGTCGCTGGCCGCATAATGTATTATGAGGCCATAGTTTAAAATAATGCTTGTACTCCTGACAGATTCCATTAACTTTATGTTCTCTAATGTTTGCTATTAAGTGATAATATACTAGGATTGTTTAACCAGTTATATTCTTATCCTCACGTTGTCAATATTTTTTGAAATAAATTTGATAAAAAAGATATCTAAGGAAGCAAAATTACAAAGAAAGAAAAGCAAATTGTGGTCAGTCTTATGGTAATTTAGTGTTCACCAACCTCTCCCTTAGGCACCCAACATTTGCTAGGTTCTGGTATGTAGTTTTCTCACCTAGGTTTGTAGACTATCTCTTCCATATGTGCTGAAGCCAAAAGGATTGGGGTTTCTTTATGTAGTTGCATGAACCTTGTATATACGCTGCATTATCTGTAACATTCCCTAGGGTTCCATTTGGACAATCATTAATTTGCTTGTTCTTGTTCCTAGTTCTCACTCCCAGTCCCAAGGATGTTTCTTATGCACTTTTTTAAATTTCTGCATGAGTTCCACTCAAATTTCAATGGAGATTAGGCATTCTTACTCCTCGAGAATGAATGATCTCAATAATTCTCAAACAAAGGTGTAAATTCCCATGTATGTAGGATCTGTGCCTCAGCCCATGTTGAATTCTCCATGTGAACAGACATAACCTTACGTATCACCTTTATGTTGCAATGTTTTTTTATTCCTTTTGGAGCATCTATGCAGAATAGAATCTAGACATCTCAGCATTTGGGGAAATCTATTCAGTTTGTTGCATGATTTTTGTCTATGAGATGCCAAATCATGGTCGTAAATATTGGATCGTGATATCTTCTGAGGAATTTTTTGAAGCTTCTATGTGAAGGCTTTCATTGAATGGTTTAGTGGACATTGTTTATGTTATGATTTAGACATCTATGGATGTGATAATTGTTTCCTTCCAATGATTTTAAATGTGTACATGTATGTGGACATCTCTAACAAAAAACCCCTTTGATTTCATCAATTCTGTTCCTCTTTCTACTTCCTCTACAAACTTGGCATTGTCCAAGTAGCTTGGAGAAGTGCCGGAATAGTTCCCCATGTTCTTTGTGCACAGTCAAAATATAGTATATGGTCTACTGCGTCCACTTTCACCTTCTAAATAATGATCTTGGTTGTATACTGACCTGGTGTTGGAGAGTATCCATGACAACTTTATCAGAGGCTTACCCTTGGGAGCCAAACTTGTTGGCAAGGTGAATGGGATCTTGAGTATGAAGCAAGGGGCTTAAACATGGGAACTACCTGTGGACGACAGTACTTGGGATCTGGATTGCCAGCTGAGTTTAAGGATTTGGCTTTTCAAGGGCTAACCACCTATGAGTGACTCAGCTACCGGTCTCGGTTTCTATTCCTACCAATGCTAACCCCTTTCAAAAACTACTGATGGTTTCAAAAATTGCTAACCCACTACTAACAACTAATGTTTTTCCATCAAAAAAAATAATAATAATAATGTGAAAAAAAAAGAAGAAAAAAAAACACTACATAATATGGTTGTTGGAAGTTAGAAATGTCTTATGTGAATTTTTAGTCCCCATATTAATTTTTTTCTTTTCTTTTAGTGCAAAATTCTAGAGCTTCTTGATTTTTAATTTTTCTGTTCTTTTGATATTTTAAAGTTATGTGAAGTTCTAAGTCAAATTCTTTTTACTGGAATTCAAAATCAGATCCATATTCTTTCCGTACTTCTGCGACAAATTACTAGCACTTCCATTATAGCTGTATCTTGCTTCAAAATAATAATAATCTGTCATAATTTTGACATCAGGTTTCTGGAAAAACAATGGACCTCAAAACTACCATTGATATTGGGTTGCGGCACCGGAACAATGTGTTGGAGATCATTAGCTATCAATTTGAGCAGTGGAACATTTTGGTATGTTTTTTTTGTCTTTGTGAATTTCATTAAATTTTGTAATTTGTTTCACTAGTTCCATGAGGCAAATTACAAAAATACATGGTAAACAATAGTTCTTGAATGGTATGATAAACAAAAAAAGTGTTCTCTTGAAAGGTGCTGAGAAACATGTACTTTTGCAAGGATATTCTCATTATCATTTCTTTTGTGACTCAGGTGAGAAAGGAGAAAGCTGTTTTTCACACGCTGAACATGCTCAGCATGGATGTCACAAAGAAGTGTCTTGTTGCAGAGGGTTGGAGTCCTGTATTTGCAAAGTCTCAAGTATGCTTAGTTCACTATGCTGGGTTGACTGTTTCGCATTTGGATTGCATATTATATATATTTTTTACATTAGTTTCAAATTTCATTTTCTCTTAGTTTGAGCAAGTTAGCCGGATCCTTACTTGTTGCTGTCCTCATAATTGATTGATTTCTGCAGATTCAAGGTACACTGCAGCGTGCAACCCGTGATAGTAATTCACAGGTTGGAGCTATATTCCAAGTATTGCGTACAAAAGAATCTCCGCCAACATATTTTAGAGCCAACAAATTTACTTCTGCTTTTCAAGAAATTGTTGATGCTTATGGGTGAGTTTTGCTTTCTCTCTCTCTCTACTTGATACTATTTGATTTGCTTGGATGTGTTGTCTGACACTATTTCTTTGTTAAGACATTATGCTTTTCTTGTTCAATTTGATGATCTGCACTTATTACAGATTTCTTGTTTCATTGGGCATAAAGCCTTCATCTCTTGCATGGGAAAGAGGGCTGCTCTATTTTGTTCGTCTCTTTTGCTTGATAACTGAATTTTGTCTAATGTAATACTATGACAGACTCAGAGCAATTATTGCAATAGGTTGCAGTAGTATGTGGTATCTGTACCATAGTTAGCAAATCACCGGTTATTCATCGATTTTTTCAAAAAAATCGGCGGTTTTTATGTAAAACGTTTTAAACTACGACTTTTTGAAAAAGTCGGGAAAAAATCACATAGTTTTCGTTAAAACGTTTAAAATGCATTTTTTCATAACACGATTTAAATTAGGCCAAAAAATCGTATCTTTTTTTACCCTTACGTATAAATTTTTTTTGAAAGATATATATATATATATATATTAATTTTTTTTTCCTGTTTCCTGTATTGCAGCCATTGCTATGCTTTTGAAAAAAAATATTATTTAAAAAAAAATAGAAATTTTTATCCCCTGTTCTTCAAAGCCAGTTGCAGATTGAAGGTATGAATTTTTTTTTTCCCTTTTTTTAAAAAAGTTAAAAAAATAGATGCAGATTGCAGTTGTTATTATGGAAAATCATTGTGTAAATGAAATACTGTTTATAGCAAATCATTTTGTAAAGTAAATCATTGTGTAAAGACAAGCATATACATGCGGATTTCTGTGATTATTTGTGATAATTGTTTTTATGAAAACACTGTTTGTGGCACAAATTAGAGCTCAAAACATAGCCTTTTACTGATGACAGAAATTAGAGCTCAAAACATAGTCTTTTACTGACGAATGAGAAGCAGAGAGTGTGACTAAGGACCAAGTAATCAATATTTTGAACTGTAAACTTACAAGAGCAAGCAATTGTACGTACCGGATTAGTTCCCCAAACCTAATCCTTCAGTTCTGCTTCTTGTTTCCCAAAGAAAATGAAAAACCCTCTTCCTTTTCTCCCTCTAAAAATTAGTTTGGGCCTCTTCACAAACTCTTTACAAATTTAGGGCTTTCTCTCAAACAACATCCTAAATTATAGAGACAAACCCTCTTCAAACTATCCCAAATCAGTATCCCATTTTCCTTTTCTCTCTCTGAAAATCAGTTAGGGTGTCTTCCATTAGGGTTTGTGAAGTCTCTTCCTTCTTCTCTCTATAAACCCTAATGGCAGGGTTTGTGAAGCTTCTTCGTTCTTCTCTCTGTAAACCCTAAAGGCAGGGTTTGTGAAGCTTCTTCCTTCTTCTCTCTATAAACTCTAATGGCTATAAGCCCAAAAATCAGTTAGGCCATCTTCCATTAGGGTTAGTGAAGCTTCTTCGTTCTTCTCTCTGTAAAACCTAATGGCAGGGTTTGTGAAGCTTCTTCTTTCTTCTCTCTGTAAACCCTTCTCTCTATAAGCCCTAATGGGTCCTATTTTCTTCTCTTCTTCCTTCTTCTCCCTCTAAACCGTAAACACAGAGATGTAAAACCCAAATTTCTACGAGCCTCTTTTTAATTAAAGAAATTTATAAAACTTTAACCATAGTTATGGAGTGACCATAGTCACCATACTACAGTTTAATAATTGTAATGAGAAAACAAAAATCGTGTTTTCTTTACCTGCTAAGTAGGTGTGATGTTTAAGCATTTAATGAATAAATTTATATAACTATATTTGTCACCATACCATGGTTAAAATATTTAATGAATAAATTTGTATAGTATATTTGTTTTTGGTATATAATAAGTAGGTGTGATGTTTCTTAAAGTATTTATTGGGTAGATTGATATGGTACATTTTTTTGGGTATATACTAGTTAATTATATATTTAATATTAGATGATTCGATAAGAGTCACGAGGCATCTAAATTAATTGACTTAATTATATTAGTATAATGAACTTTTTATGGATGAATTAGTTATTGATGGCATTGACATAAATTTTATTTTTTAGAATTTCAAAATTTCTAATATTATAAACTTATCCGATTTTTTGACTCGCTTTTTTGAGCCTAATCCGATATATTAGCGATATCTTTATATGAAGTATTTTTGCCGATCCGTATTTTTTACCCAATTTTTTCATCCGATTTTTAAAATAAAAATGATTTGTTTTCGATTTTATGGTGAGCGGATTTATTGATAGTCCCCGACTTGCTATTTATGGTCTGTACGTGTTGCCATTTAAATAAGGTGTTGGGGTTATGATGCAGGGAGAAAATAATATGGGAACAATAAAAATAAAAAAATAAAAAGTTGAGAGAATATATCCTCTCTCAAGGTCTGCAAGAGAATCCACCTCAAAAACAATCTTTTCACAAGACCAAATTTTATTCAATTCCCATTCACTATGATCTTTACAATAGGGACTTCTTCCCTTTAAATAGACTTTACAGAAAAATAAACGAATAAAAAAATCCACAATAAATAAACTCTCTTATCTCTCTAAAAATCTCGTACCATTTTCCCTTATCTCTTTTTCTCTCCAATTTCCACATAAATCTCCTCCCTATCTCCTCGCATGCTATCTCCCTAATTTCTCTCTTCATCTCACCAACTTCCGCCAAATAGCTCCCTCATTCTCACATGATCTCCGATTATTCCTAATCTATGGCACAAAATCCTCCCGCTTAACAATACGTACCAAAATCCTCCCTCCCTTAATTATCCCAGCTCACTTCCTATTCTTAAGAAAAATAAACAAAATAAAAATAAAAAAATAATAATAAAACCCTAATTTTATTTGCATCAGGTTCTCAACGAAAAGCTTGTTCCTCGAACTCCTTTTCTGACAAGAGAATTGACGTTTTAATTTCTTTATTCTTCATATGGAGCAGTGATTGGAGTATAACTGTCATTTGACTTGGGACATTGTGCTTTTGGCTGTAACTCTTAACAACTGGATTTCAAGTGTTGGAGAAGATTACATTGTTGTATTAGGGTGGAACTAATTGCCACTTTATTGTCCAATTAGATACCCTACCAGGTGCAACTTTGCAGGATAGCATTTCTATTCCTGATGCCCAACTTGTCTCAGCAATCTCCGTACTAGTTTGTCTTCCACAAGCTTATATGGTGACTGAAATGGGCACTTCTTAGGGCCTTTTTGGCTAATGAAACCTATCGTTCTTTCTTGGTAAAGTGGAATGTGGTTGGATATATTGGATGTCCCCTAGGTTATTGAGATGGAGGCACTGCCATTTATTCAAACTTCATGGAGAATTCTCTTTAAATAAACTATAGGAGGTGGTTATCCACCCAGCACAGTCGTTCCTAAAGCCTATTTTTGATGGATTCATCTGAGACACTGTTGGCAGGGCAGAAAGTGAGTGCTAAGTGAAATACTTCTCTTGTACTGTCTGGGTTTTTTTGATATCGGATTCCACTGTGGCTGTGAGGCTGGTTCCACTTAAATGTGTCTTCTCTCTCTTATTTTTCTTTTTATTGTTTTAATTGTGTATCTTCTCTAATGTCAGTTGATCAAGAGGAATGGCCTTAGATATTAACCTTTAGCCTTGGTTCCTTGTAGATTCTTTGGCAGGTATTCTTAATGTCTTAGGGTTCCTTTTCTTTCAAGATAAACATGGAATCAAACTGATGACATTAATCCTAACAAATTGCTCCATACCACCATTTAAAATTTTAGGACATGGGCCACGTGTATTTCTCTCTCTCCCTCTCTCTCGATAAGTAGATATGTATCGGTAGTTATGAGTTATGGTGGGACTGTGGGAGATCTTCTCTCTCTATGTCGGTAGTTATCTTAATGGGAGGTTATGAGTAGTGGTAGGTGGTTATTGTTTCACGTGGCTAGTAATGGGGTTGTTTTGGTGGTTAAGGCATTTAAAAAGGCACAACCTAATGGAATGAAACACCCCTTTGAGTTTGATTTTATCTCTCTAAGTTTGTTCTTATTCAAAAAAAAAAAAATGTTTATAAAAGAGTGTTAGCTGCATCAAGGACAAGGGAGGTAATTTGGGAGGCCTTCTATGGCCTGTGGGCCATAGCATCCTCACTCTAATATTTATTTTTTTGTATTTATCTTGTTTATTTATAGTCCTTCCTTGAGTTTTATTAAACTAGTGAGTGTTTTTACATTGTAGTAATAGCTTTAAATAAAACTTGAGGAAGGACTATAAATAAACAAGATAAATACAAAAAGATGAATATTTTAGTGAGGATTCTGTGGCACACAGGCCATAGCAGTCTTCCTAAATTACCTTACTTGTACTTGCTGTTGCTAACACTCTTTATTAAACAAAGTTCTTTTTTTAGAATAAGCATAAACTTAGAGAGATAAACTCAAACTCAAAGGTGCATTCCATTCTATTAGGTTGTGCCTTTTTAAAGGCCTTACAAATAGTTTTAAAAACCACCCTCCACTACTCATAAGCTCCTATTAAGATAACTACTCACATTGAGAGAGAGAGAACATAACTCCCACTGTAACTCATAACTACTAATACAAATCTACTATGAGAGAGAGAGAGAGAGATACACGTGGCCCATCTCTTAAAATTTTGCATCACATTTCAACACTCCCTTTGATGCAAAATCCCCTTTTTGTTGAATTGTCCGTATAAGATTTTCAATAATATGTTGAAGATTTGTCAACATTTTCAAAATAACAATAAAATAAAATTGTGAAGATCATTACCTTCTTTTGTGCGCACACTTGGGTTTCAAGACTTTCAATGTATTTCTTCATTTGATAAATTTCTTCTTCTCTTGCAATCTTCATGTTTGATTCTTTATCATGTTCAATTTCAATAATTTTCTTCTTTTTCAATAATTGCAGTATGACAAAATGGGCTGCACTATGTTTAACTTCTTTTTTGTATCCATAAGAAATCCCAAAAATTCTCTTTCTCCGACTTCCATCTTATAAA